ATTTTAACTTCACGGGCATAATTGTTAATATCTCTATTGTCCCCTGGGATATGTAGGATTATATCAATTAAATTGGTCTCTGTAACTGAACACATTAGCCGTAAATGTGACTATTGTGTCTTCACGAGCACCTGTTAGGTGTTTAATTTACTTGCCTGTAATAGATTGTCAGAGCTGTAAATGTGAGGCAAGCGATGTAAACGGTATAATGACTGCAATTATCCGAACAGATCGAAGGTAGTGTTATTGCAATGTGATATTGTGGGTAGGAGCACGATACAGACATTCCATATAAATTCCCATTTTCAGCTTTATTTCCTTACCCATTTTTTCCCAAGACATTTAAAGTGAAAACAATGTAAACCAGCATTGCCATGCTCTTCTTTATCTCTTCCCATTACCCTCATGCCATTGCCTCCCTAAAACCAGCAAGCTTTGCAAAAGCTACATTTCTCCTAAGAACAGTTTCATAGAATCGGAATTCCATTGGTTTCCCCCATATCATGGCATCTGAATATTTGAACTGGAAGTCACTTTGTAGATTGTCGAGGTTGTTCCCTTAGGACAGTGGTCGGCAAACTGCGGCTCAGCAAACTGTGGCTCGTGAGCCACATGCGGCTCTTTGGCCCGAGTGTGGCTCTTCCACAAAATACCGACTTCTGCGCATGGGCCACGAAGTTTCAATCGCACTGTATGTGCACGCCCGCACGTGGTATTTTGTGGAAGAGCCACACTGAAGGGGCCAAAGAGCCGCATGTGGCTCGCAAGCCGCAGTTTGCCGACCACTGCCTTAGGATATTAGGTAAAGAACTGTAAGCCCAGCAAGGTTGAGGGACCCGCTGAAGGTTACACAGCCCGGTATTGCCAGGTAAACGGCAGTGGAACGAAACTGGCACTGGACCCAGCCCTCCCACCCGGGTGAGGACAGCAGAGGTTCTACCCGCGGTGCCGAGCAGCTGCGCTGTGACAGCCTGAGCAATCCCTGGAGGGAACAGCCACGAGCCAGACCCGGCTCCCAGTCTGGTTTGGGTGGGGCGTGAGGAGGAGAAGCAGTCTGTGCCTGACCAATGCTTTCAAAGTTCAAACAGAGGGTCAGTGTGAGGGTCAAAGGGTCGGGCTGTGTGGCAGATATCTGTCCATGAGGGGAAGGGAAAAAAAGGGCAAATCTCGCCTCAGGGACAAGAAGGTTGGGGGTGTAGCTGAAACAGGGATTGGAGCCCAGACGGACAAGGTTGAAGCCAAGATTTAGAACTGAAACCTGAAGAAGAAATGGGTTTGAATCCCGGGCCTCAAGCTATGAGTAAGGTCCAGAGGATCTAGGGCAAGAGCACCTGCAAACAGGTCTTCCCTCAGCACGCTGCCTCAACTCTTCACCCCAGTTTCATTGCTGAGTAACAAACTAGCCTAAATCTGAAACTTATGATACATCTGAAAAAAACAACAACAAAAACAAACAAACAAACAAAACCCCAAAACACAACAACACACATTCAAGTTATCAGGAACACACAAAGAAAACCACACATAACCCACGCCTTCTGCATTACCAGAAAACAGAACAATAGGACTTCAAATTCCTGTAAGTAGAAAAATGAACACCAAGTACCCACAGAACTATCCGTAGGGTATGCATCGGAGGATGGCAGCAGAAGGTGTAAAGAAAGCACACCCAGGGGAGAAGGTCCCACGGCACATGCTCAGTACTGACCACAGGTGCAGACAGCTGGCTCCCCGGGCAGCTCTGGGCAGGGCATGCCAGTGTGAGGCCTGAGGTAGCTGTCAGACAGGCAATGTTCTGGGGAGAAGGAAGCAAAGAGAAAAGGGGAGGTAGAGGGAGTGCCATTTGGAAATGTGTTTGTGAAGGAAAAAGGAAGAGGGGGAATTTTATGATGGTATAGAAATAAATGGCCTCTCCAATTGTCATCCATTAAGGAGGCTAAAGGGAAAGGGCAAGAGTGAAAGAATAGTACGTGACCATGATATTCTCCGACAAAGTAGAAAGAATGCAACTAGGAATTGGGTGGAAAGGGAGTGAGAGGGAAAGTGATTGAGGCGTATGTCATAGGAGGGAGTTAAGGGGTGTGAATTTAACTAGGTAGTAACAACTAAAGTCAGACAACAAAAGGAGTAATGAACCCGAAGAGTGTGGATGTAAATGGGGTTGTGGGAGGGGTACCTCCCTGAGTGTACCTTTTGGTATGGTTTTGACTTTTGCAATAATGTTAATGTTTTTCATGTTCAAAACCAAAAATATAACCAACAAAAGAGGAGAGATTAGATTTGAATACTATCAGAAAAATATAAGTGAACTGAATTTCAAATAAATAGCATAACTACACTAATGTTGGGGGAACCAGTCTAGTAATTTTTGAACACATTATTTTCACTATATACCTTCATTCTTAAAAAAAGTTGTGAATTCTTTTTAATATAGTCTTTTGTGGTTAAAAATTGTGTATGCATTGTAGGATTGAAGAACTGAGTATGATCTTGGCAGCCCATGTTCTAGAAAAAAGAAGATACAAGTAGGAAAATAGGAAAAGGAAGAATTGTTTGTTCTGGGGTTGAGAGGTGTGTGTGTGTGTGTGTGTGTGTGTGTGTGTGTGTGTGTCTGTCTGTCTGTCTCTGTGAGGGAAGGAAGCAATGACTCCTCTGTAGCAACTGACACACATTAACACCAGGTCTTAGTTTCCAAATGGCATTCACTGAGGAAGCAGGATTCCTTGAGGAAATGGTCCTTTTCAGGGATGGGGCAAGAAAAAAGCAAATGCACCTGAAACATTTCCATGTGCCAAAAAAGGAAGAAAATGTTTTTTAAATGATGAAACAGGTCAAAAGGACACAGCATAATGGGGTTCACCTTCCCAAAGCAGGGCAATGTGATCATCCAAATAAATACTGACAGTAATAACTTCTGACCCTTTCAATAACATAAGAATCCAATTACTCATACTAATAAATGATTAGGAAAAGCACTTTCTTTTGATTAACTGAAAACTCAAAATGTAGGTTGAGAAATGATAGAAACCATCATTTACAAACAAAGTTATCACTGATTCAGGGAAGACTCATGGATGGTTGCTAAACTCAGGCGATGATGAAAGTTTGATGAGGACTAAGCTCTTTTCATCACCTCAAAGTACCTCCCCATGATTTACTTACTAATTGTAAAGGAAAAGAGAGTAACTTTGCAGGTCCCACCTTAACCTAGTGATCAAAGTTAACTTGTCCAATGAGAGGACACGTGAATATCGCGTGAATCCATGATGCACCGAGAAGGACCCAGCATCACCTGTGTTATCCCTGCCAGGTGTGCATGAGGAAAGTTGAACCAAATCCAAATTAGGAACACTCCAGAAAATAATTGGCCTCTACTTTTGAAAAAAAGTAAGGAGAGAGGGAGAGAGAAAGGAAGGGAGGAAGGAAAAGAGGAAAGGAGAGGGGGAGAGAGGGAGGGAAGGAGAAAAAGAAGGAAAGGGTGAGTCAACAGCATGAAATATAGGAACTATTTCAGATTAAAGGTTCTGGACGACTGACAAATAGATGCAATGCATAATCCTGCATTGAACTCTGAACTGGAAGAAATGTGCTACGATGACATTATTGGGACAGTGGATGAAATTGGAATAAGGACTGTAGATTAGATTGTGGCACTGTATTAATGTTATTTCCTGACATTGGAAACTAAACTGTGTTGTGTAAGACAATGTCTTTGTTGTTAGAAAATACATAGAAGTATTTAAGGCTATAGAGCATCATGTTTGCAACTTGTTCTCAAGTTGCAGGGAAAAAAAAGGAAAAAGTATGAGATAGCAAAATGTTAACAGTTGGTGCATCTGAGGAAAGGGTAGCAGTTCATACTATTCTTGCAAATCATCTGTAAGTGTGAAATTATTTCCAAATATAATTTTTTAAATAATTGACAGGAAGAAACTATAAAGGAAAACATGTTGGTCTATGTACCACCTAAAAATTATGCCATAATTTGAAATAATTATTTCAGAGTTCTCTATGCCCCCTCCTCTATCAGGGAGGATGTAGGGAAGAGTCTGGTAGAGCCATGTTTGCTAGGGAAGTGGGGTGGGTGGGTGGTCACAGTCACAGCCATGAGGAGGAGTAACTTGTACAGTTTGGAAGTCAGGCTGGGCCAACAGTGATAGAAATGGACCCAGGCCACAGGATGCAGAGGGTGGTTCTTACGCCACCATGGCATGATCTCCCTACCAACTAACATGCATATTCTGATTGATTTCCCCCTTATTATTCCACATAGCAGCTGAGTGACCATATTTCACCTCGTACCATAGAGCAAGCATGTCAAACTCGCGGCCCTCGAGCCACATGCCTTGTTTATTTGGCCCATGTTAGCCTTTGAGCTTGACATACTTGGTATGGTAATTGATATAGCATTCAGATACACACATGGCTCTGAGGGGCAGAAAAGCAGTAATTCTAAATGAGAGAGAGGGAGAAGGACGTGTAAGCATAACCCAATTCTTAAATTTGTTATTGTATTCTTAAGTTCAAAAGTCATTGATGAATTGGAAAAGCGTGTTTAGTTTGCATTCGGAATCGCACTTCCGTGAGTTTACCTGAGATTCTTCTCTGTGGTCCACACACATATTGGGTCATGAAGCTATGGCCGGTGCAAACGAAGTGGATTAAGGCATTTCTTACATTTACAGTTTCATGGGATGAAATGAACATTGTAGTCTTTCTGTGGGACACTCACATCAAGCATTCTCACATACTGGCTTCTATGCAGTCAGCATCTCTGGGTCACAGTTCCTTAGGTGGGAATGCATTTTTGTGAAGCACGAGGCTAAGACAGAAGTCAGCCCTGAGATATTTATAATGGTCCTCGGAGCACACTCGTCAAAGGCTCTTCTCAAAGGTTGTTCAGATCCTGAGGAGGTCTGTGGAGTAGCTGCATTGACTAGGTTGCCAGGTAATACAACGCTTCATGGATTCATTTGTATTATTTTTGTATCTTGCTGCAGGCAGAGAATTCAGCATTGGCTTTGGAAAATGAGAATCAAAGGGAACAGTACGAGCGATGCCTCGACGAGGTAAGTGGGAGGGAGAGCTCCGTGATGAGGGGCCGCGCTGCTTAGAATTTCCTTAGTGAGATCGTAACGTACGTCCATCGCAGGGCCATTTTGTCCTCTGAAGGGAGGTTGAAAGTGTGCACATTGAGAAGGAAGCCCAGTCACTCCCTCCCCGTCCCCTCCCTCTTCCCTTCTCTTCCTGTTCCACTGTACAGGCATCTGTAAGTTCCTTCCCTTATTGTTTAATATTCTTGGGGCACAGCTGGGTATGCCTCCCTGTATGATGAATTCCTCCGTCCAGCAAGTACGAGCCCAGCCTGCATCTCAGTTCACACAGGATGCCATTTCTGGAAATGCTAAACCCCACAGACTGGGCGGGGCGACGCGCGCAGTTATCAGCCAGAGTGAAAAGATCAGCATATTGAGAACACGCCAGGAGAGAAAGGGACTCGAAGGAGAAAATCTGAGTGGAATGGAAGAAGACAGGGCCCGTGCATGAGTAAACTTGAGAAATGTTATTTGATGTTAATGAAGAGATGAAGGCAGAGATGATGGGCTTTTCAGAATTCCTGAGAGGTGAGGGGGGAATTGAAGTTGTGGGCAGGGCCTCATTCTCCCACACACCCCTGTCAGGAGTCTGCTCCTACTGTATCCTCCAGCAGGACCGGCCATTCGCCGCACCAACAAGCTCTCGTCTGAGATTTCTTGGTGATCAGAGTTATTCATCTAATGGGATGACTTTCTTAGTTGTCTGCCCAATACTGCAAACTTGCACATGTCCTTCTAGGACAGTGGTTCTCAACCTTCTGGCCCTTTAAATACAGTTCCTCATGTTGTGACCCAACCATAAAATTATTTTTGTTGCTACTTCATAACTCTGTAATGTTGCTACTGTTATGAATCATAATGTAAATATCTGATATGCAAGATGGTCTTACTCTTAGGCAACCCCTGTGAAAGGATCATTCGACCACCAAAGGGGTCGCGACCCACGGGTTGAGAACCACTGTTCTAGGAGATTCAGTTTGACAGTTGTTATGCTATAGCTGACACAGATGTTAAGAAAATAAGAAAACTCCGTTTCACTGGGCTCCATGACCTTACCCGTGGAAATGCCACCATATCTGGTCTTTTCTTCCTTACTAAGAATTGGGAAACCTTTTCCAACAAACTCCTCTTGATCTTTCTTTCCCCTGTCTTCCCCCGGACAGCACCCCCACCCCCAGGGTCCCATAAGGTGATGGGTGTACTGTAAAGAACACAGGCTCAAGCCCCAGTTCTGAGGTCATCACCACCAGACCCCAATCTCCTCCCCTCACACTGGCAGCAGCCCCTCCTCAGAGTCCCCTGTGCTGGCGTTTCCAGCACCAGTGATTCCTGAAGGCTCACCCTGGACCAGCAGCGTCAGCCTCACTTGGGAACTTGTTAGACATGCACGTTCTCAGCCCCACCCCAGGCCTGTGGGATCAGATGCCAGGGGCCTAGCAGGTGATCTGTGTCAGCAAGCCCACCAGGTGGGCCGTCCTCAGAGCACAGGCCACTTGGCATTACATTTACTATATGTGGTGAAGGGACCTCAAAAGGACCCCAGAAAAAATTCAATTAGCATTTAATATTTTACTTGTTTAATATATGCAGCTCAAAATGGTGTCTGCATTTCTCTGCCCTGTCAGGCCTTAAAAAAGCTCAGCAATCTTTACAACGTCCAAAGGTAAAGTTGACATAAAGGGAAAAATGACAACTCAGAGTCCTGTGAGACCAGCTTGGCACTTCTCACCCCTGTCCCCCAGGTTCTTGGTCCAACCAGAGTTTAGGGCAAGAAAGATCCAATAGATCCAAGGATATTTAAAGGAACAGACATTGCCCTTGGGTCGCATGTATTGAGCAGCAAAGTTTTACTTTAACCTCCTGCGCAGAAATTTCCAAGGAGACCTAATCTGTATTCAGAAGTCAAATTCATGTGAATCACACCACAGTAACGTCTTATTTGTCACAATTCCCCTGCAAGTCACCCCTCCCCAGCAATCCAAAGGCTCACAGCATTACTTTAAGGCAGCGGTTCTCAACCTGTGGGTTGCGACCCCTTTGGCGGTCGAACGACCCTTTCACAGGGGTCTCCTAAGACCATCCTGCATATCAGATATTTACATTATGATTCATAACAGTAGCAACATTACAGAGTTATGAAATAGCAACAAAAATAATTTTATGGTTGGGTCACAACATGAGGAACTGTATTTAAAGGGCCAGAAGGTTGAGAACCACTGCTTTAAGGAAACTTGTGTTCTGTTTTCCTTGTGTTCCCAGTGCATGCATTCTCAAGGTTTCATCAGAACGTGTTCGCAAAACATGTGTTTCCACCCATAAAATCATTTCACAGAAAGTTTTCACTGAAGACGGGGTTTTCTAGAGGGAGTGCTCCTCTGTTCTTAATTGCAAACATTAGCTGTTGCCAAAGAGGTGATTTGCAGCAAAGAAGCACCTTTGAGCAATACAAATGTTTTGTATTCGTGAATGCGGGCCCCTGATTACACATGCCAGTTGTTTTGTAACTAATTGCATGAGGGTAGACAGTCCGTTTCCATGCATTGTAAGAGAACACTCTCAGAGGGATACTTGAATGTAGTAATAATGCCAACTGGAAATCCTTTCCAAGGCTGTTTATCCTAATTAGACAAACTAACAAGGTAAGGTCTCCTGTAAGTTATTTCCTTGCTAGTGGGTTTCAGAAAACATGCACAGATGGATAAAACATAAATTTGAAATGTTCTTCAATCCATTTTGCACTACTTGTTATTTTCTGGGAAATGAAGGATATATTGAGGACTTGGGGAGAACACTTGGGAGTCAGAAATTCCTTCTGTGTGTTCTAATGAATGGGTGTGCTTATTCAGAAGAAAAAAGACCCACATCCCTGGACACACACACACACACACACACACACACACATGCACACACACACACACGCACACACACACACAGGCTTGCTAGACAGGCACGTGCACACAGATGCTCACACGCCAGTGCACACACATGCTTCTCCACTACGCCATCATCTCTGCTTCTACCTGGCGCCTCATCTCCTTGCCTTGCAACACAAAGGCGAAAGGCAAAGCCCAGGGCTGCTCTTGAACTTTTCCCTGGGGGATCAGGTTGTAATGTCTGAATCTAAGGTCATCATCTAACTGTTTGACAGATTTACAGGCAAGCAGGGAATTGCTGTTTGTTCTCAGTATTGCTTTGACTGGTCCCTTTAAGGCCAACTCCTTCCCATGTAGAGAAGTGTAATGGCACATATAAAATAAGTAAAATAGCATCTCCTCAAACCGCTGCCTTGCATTTAGTCGATGGGTTCACTTGTGCCCTACAAATCTTTATTGGAAGTCAACCTCCCCCCAGGCCCTAGGGTGCCTCCAGACTGGCAGAAGTGAGGAGGTGGTAGCCACAGGAATGATGTGAGGGGAACTGAAGGAAATGGGGTGCCCTGGGGGCTTAGAGAGCACACAGCAGGGTCACCAGAGGGCAGGAGGAGTGGTGGGAGGGGCGGGGTGGTGCAGGGAGGAATTGAAAGGGATCTTTAGCAGAAGAAACTGGAGCAGGTGACACTTGGGATCTAGAAGGGCATGTGGTTCTGGCTCTGACCTGCCGGTTGGACTTACCTGGGGAGCTTTAAAAAGACTGCTGTCTGGGCCCCACCTCAGAGATCATCTGATTGTGGATGGAGTGCCACCCCCCCCCACCCCGGGGCATTAGAGTTTTTATAGTGTGGGAGGAGGAGGGGGGGTAAAATGTTCAGCCACAATTAGGAACCACCACCCTCAGGCTCTCTGAATGCTCTGCCTTAGGGAGCATTTTTAGAAAGTTTCCATGATGAAAGCTTCACTAAACTTGGATGTGATGGAAGAACAGCAGACACATGTGGAAACGGGGCTGTTTCCAAGTCCCCAGCAGTAGCAGATGTAAAGCCTATGTCAGTGCTTCCCAGTGTGTCTGGGCCCTTCCCTGTCAGAAAGATGTCCTCGGACCCACTCAGCCCTTCCAAGCAGGAGGAGGGCTGAGGGCATTGGCCACGTCAACACATGTCCCAGGTGAGGCTTTTGCACATAGACGCTGGAGAAACTGCCCCCTTCGGACCATGGAGTTAGTTGGCCAGGCTTCCGGTCCCTCGGGGAGGGTGCCACCTTGGAGCTCTTCCTGGCTTCCCTAGGTCTGCACTTCAGAGCACAAGGGCAGGGAAAATAGGCTTTTGGATGCTGGTCAGACAAAGAAAAAGCACCAGCTCTAGTTTGAAACCCAGACTAGATAAAGGCAGAGGGGGGTTGTGAAGAGTAGCTCTGAGCTTTTTCTCTGGTTCCTGTTCTGTACCCGTCCATTAGCAGCGCACTCTCGTGGCATATCCCACATCCGGGCCCTAAGTCATCTTTAACATCAATGTCTGGATAGACGTAGGGGGAAGATGGTCCTGCTATGGCCCCCACCTGGGTCAGATGCTCACTTCATGAAAGGATGGTGACATCAGCAGAAACCTGCTTCTTGTGCCTGCCCCAGACCGAAGCACACAAGGCAGTACCTATGCTCTAGACCCCATCGTTTCTGCACCACTCTGGGCTCATACTTGGTACTTGATGCACGTTCATTGAATGACTAAATGAATGAATGGAAATTAATTTCCACATTGGCTTTCCCTGGAATACCACATATATGTTTAATGAGTTTCTCCCACTCCCAGTATTTTACAGGATTTTTTAACAGGTTAAATAAATAATATAGGTGCTTACTACTTTATATTTACACATTCATAGTACACACATACACACACGTCATCCCTTTCCAAATAAAGTCCCTTATTCTTTCTAACTGATGAGCTGAAATTGCATTTTATTCTCTAAAGTTTGAGGGACTAGTGCAGACTTAACATTTACGGGGCGACTACTTTATATCAGAAACTGCCTGAGGGGTTTCCCTGGTTATGTCCATCACCCCTTGAATTTTTCACAGTGTGGATAGGGGCTGTCCTTCCC